ACGTATTATTATATATTTGTATTATCTGTCACATTTTAAAAAGACTTAAACATTATTAGAGCTAATATAAAATACTAATTTATCTCTTCTATCTACATGTACGAAGCTGAAGCAGATCGCTAGTCTCTAAAACTTACAATTCTTATTTTCCGACCAACATTTTTAATAACCTAATACATTTTTTTTTATTTAATTTTCGAATATTTAATTTCCTAATACTACTGCAAGTATATACCAAGCAACTAATCTGAGTTACCGCTGACATAAAATATTAAAATTATTTGTTTCTCTTGTCTTTATTTTATGCATGACATTCTGTCCTTCTCCAACAGCAAATTATTTCTATTTATTAGTGTAGAGCTGTCTCTCTCTTATCCTTAATAAGAGCTCTTTAATAAAATCTGGTTAGCGGATAATGCCTCAACAAATTCTCTCAGGTATCTCAATTAGGTAGGCCAAAATGTATTCATACACATACTAATTAGAACATAATATTATATTATGTTGTAATTAGATTTTATTTTAAAATTCAAGAGCGTTTCGTGCTGAAATTAAATAGGGTCTCTCTTAGATAAAATGACAATATAGGGGGAAAAGGGATTGTTAGTAATGAGTATCAAAGGTCACATTGCTAGCAAGCCCTCTCGACCTCAACGCGGTTCCCCCTGGAAACCATCGTGATAAACACTTGTTGCATTCATCACGATGGGCTAACTAATCTGCTTTCATGCTCATCTGTCATTCCTCACTGATGTCCTGTATATACCGATAGCGCAGGTGGTGATACCATTCCATTATCATCCATTAAAAAAAAGTGTCAATATAGATTAAGAAAACCCATTAATTTATTAAATCGTGTAATTATTTTAGGTTATGTAGATAGGTACTATTCTTAATCTATGCATTTATCTATCCATGTCAATATCAACCTACTGCTGGACGTAGGACTCCATTTTGTGAGATCTCTTATAACGATTCCATGCTAACCTCATTCAATGGGGGGAAAGGGATTGTTAGTAATGGAGACTGAGAATTCCATTGTTAGCAATATACCCAACCAGGTCGACCTCCTCGCGGTTCCCCTGGAAACTATCATGGTTAATTCCTGATGAACTCATCATGATAGGCTAACTGGCCTGTTTTCATTCTCATCGATCACCTTTCACTGGTGCTCTGCTGGCGTATCCCGTTAGCGCAGGCGGGGTTACCATACCATTATCACCCATCAAAAAAAAAAAAACTCGTTCACTGCTATCCGCAGTGTCGTCTGATCATCGGGTTGGTGGTTCACCAATTTTTCTATGTAATCAATATTTTTTTTCTTCTTCTATACAGATAACAAGGAATAAGGACAAACTGCCCATACAGGGGGAGAAGGGATTGTTAATAATAGAGACTAAGGGCCCCATTGCTAGCAATTTATCCAACCTGCGAGTTTACTCTAGAATCTAATATCAATTCCATTTATTGTCAATGACAAATTTATACTGCACTCATGAAATAACAGTTAAGGATTAAATTATAATTGGTATAGTTTTACAATATTTTGCATTTTTGATTTAGATCATATTTTGATTTAGACAAGTTACACTAATCATCATTATCTTCCTACCCTTATCCCAATTATTATTTGGGATCGGCTTAATATGGTTTTATCCATATTACTAAAAGATTTGGTTTTTAGGTTTACGACCAACCGCCTGCCTGACGTCAAACCTTTTTGGGAATGCATTTATTGGTGGTTTCCGCCACCTACGGTATGGAGGAAAGGATTGAGAAAAAAAGGAAGGGAACGTTGGAAATACGTAAAGGAAATTAGTAAATGTGAGGAATAAGGAACTTATGTGAGAAAGGAAGGGGACGATGACGACATTGCAATAGCGGAAAAGACTGGGACACTGCAGTGGCTCGAGAGGCCGGGGTCGCATACCCGTATGCTCTTATTCTAAATCGGACAGATTTCTAGAGAAGAACACCCCTTAAAAGTTACACTCATATGCATCAATCAAAACATTATGTCGCAATATTGTACGAAAGCGCGAAACGTCTCAATTCCAATATTGATTTATTGAAATTAATTTCAAGAGTAACTCACCAGGTTAAGCTTCACGTGATCCCCCTTAGAAACCATTCTCATCTGTCTTATTAATAAAATTCAAGCTTATAAAATACTGTAATCAACGACGCAATAGTAGGTAGCGGTTATTTCTAAAATCCACAAGAGCATCGCAAACATCTCATCCGAAGCAATCTAGTTTAAATACACTCGGAGACTAACAATGGAGTAAAACAAATCAGTGATATCCTTATATACAGAAACCAATCTAAGCGTGGACTTAAAAATACATCAGTGGCGTTTGAGAGCAATGCTAATGTTTGTATTGGGTCCACAAACATTGGAACTGTATGGGATATTATCTAATTGATTTATTAGAGTGAACACGAGTTTCATGTCTAAGTGTGGACTTTAGTTAGATAGACAACGGTAGTGCTTGGAGATTGGAGAGAAAGGGATTGTTAGTAATGGAGTTTAAAGATCCTATTGCTAGCAATGTACCCTATCAGATGGTTCCTCCTAGAAAACATCGTGGTAAATTATAATTCATCACGATTGGCTAACTGACTTCTGAGCTTTCTTCTCCATCTATTATCCCACACTGGTACCCTGCCAGTGTATACCGATAGCATAAGTGGGATCACCATTCCATTTTCACCCATTAAAAAGAAAAAAACAGTAGTACTTCTAAATTCCGTATATGTGGCCAGTATCTGCCCCCCGTCTTTGATGCTTAACGTACCCCCTCAGTAATACAGATATGACCACAGAGTAATGTAAGATCAAGCGCACGACAACTTAGTTGGAAAATGCTTCAAACTTCAAACCGTTTCTTGTGATGAAAAAAGAGTGATGGATCTTAACTTTGGTGACGCACTTGACATAGTTGTCAAGTGCGTCACCGTCAAAGTTAAGATTGAGAATACCTGAAATGACAAACAACTCTTCACATAGTTACAAGATTCACAGTATAAATCAACACACTATTAAATTATGCTACCAACTTAAACGAACATCACAAAGTTAATAATAGTTCGCAAGTTTATCGATACAATGCGGCGGCAATCGCGGAGTTATCGCTTGATAGACAAACTAATAGCTCTTGTAACCAGTTTAGCTAAGTTTCAAGCGCTATTATACACGCGGTTGTATGGAACGGGGCAATTTTATCATACGTTACGATCGTTACCTACGATCATTCATATTCAGTCGTTATTAGCCCATTGTGAAATGAAAAGTTTGCCCTTCTGGTGAATCGGAATGTTGTTTAAAAAAAATATATTAGACGTAATATTTTTTTTTTTTCTAAAATCATCATCTACTGTTTTTTTATCTGCTTCCTTGGAAAACAAATTTTATTATATACTAGCGTGCGACCTCGGCTTCGCACGGGTGCAATGCTGATACTGAATATACCTACCTACTACAGTGTCCTTATAAATAACGTTTACAATTTTTTTTTGTTATTAGACAATACAAATATGAAAAAATGCTATATGGTGAACCGCGGTCTTCGACGCGCTATTATATAGGCACGCGCCGCCGGCCGGATCGGTACCGCCGTACCGCTATATCCCTGCATTTTAAATCTGTAATATCTTCGGAAATACTCATTTAAATTATATACTGTAAAGGACCATATTGATCTATATTAAATGGACAATATATTTAAGGTACTTAATTGGATAAAAATTAATGCTGTATTACTTGAAATCACTTCGAAAATTAGCCATTTTTTACTCCATTTCCTAATTTAAATTGGCAACACTCTTGCCCACAAAAAAACATTACAACGATCGGGTCGAATCGGCTATGTTCGTGTCGACAAACTATCGAGCTCGATCAACGACAAGTAATGAATAAAATTAATAGTGAATGATATTAATTCAGAATCGTCTAGTTTTTACTCCAAGATACGAGCAAGGCTTTGCAAAAACATGTCTAAGAGTATATAAGGGGCCAGCGGTATGGATAATTTTAAATACGTCAATAGGTAACAGTAGCGAGTGTTCAGCTATAAACTGCAAAAAGTTCCAAATCTCTCGAGAATGACGCTAGAGTAGCAAGAGTATGAGATGAATTTAGCAGTTGTTAATAGAGAGAAGTGTATCACGTTGAAAAATTTAATATTTTTATTTACTATTTTTTTTTTAATTATGTACTATAACTATGTTTCCTTTTGAAAAATGCGCCATTAAAAAGCAGAAATTTTGCTTTCCTTGTTTATTTCCTAAAGGGATTTTTGGATAATTATATTGTATTATAGGGTTAATTAAAAAAGGCGTTTTATTATTTTATTAAGAGGACAAAATACAATGCAGCTTTATGAAAGCGGCGTAGATGAAAGAGAGATAGAGACGATAGTGTCTTCTCTGTTACACAATTCTTAGTTGTGTGGCCATTACAAGAAGTCCAACCTGGGCCTTTAGACAAGTGGCAAGCGAAATTGTCGATGGGATCGACATCGCTATCGAGTCCGTGAAATAGAATGAGATAGCAACGCCGGATGACTCATTCCAACTCACGGACTCGCTAGCGATGTCGATTCCATCGACGAATTCGCTTGCCACTTGTCTAGAGGCCCTGGTCCACTAAAATGACTGTTGCCATATAAAGAATCACATTTAATACTTTTTTTTTAAATTTACTTCTCCTGCTCCATACTAATTTAATGCCTTTTGATACACTTTTTCACACACAAGCACGATTCTCCTTACTTCTATCCACCACACTATATAAATAAAACTATTTTAATTTCAAACTTCCCTCCAAATTTTTTATGGATCTTTGCTTATTTATGGCGTAATACAGATAGCAGAGAAAATTACTAGCCTTCCGGTCTGATCACAGGAACATGTAATTTTTTTTTTAATAAGTATAATTGATCCAGTCAGCTGAACCAAAATGCAGAGGTGATTGAGTAAATAAAAAAACAAGTTTTTTTTTATATAGTATAATTATATTATATATAAATAACAGTTGACTTATAACAATAAATGCTTAGTACTTTTATACACATGTAGCAAGGGAATTAAAAAAGCCCAGTATATGAGGGAATCCATTAAGGTTTCTAAAATACAAGATACTCTGAAATATGTATATCAATTTAATTTACAAATAATGATAAAAGAATTAGTAAACAAAACCATTTTAAATCAAGGATTTTTTACATTTTAAATGTTCAAAGAATTTTATTATTCTTTGAGGCCATAAAATAAAAACTTATTTTAACAATCAGATTTGGTAAAACTGTCATAAATCACCTATCTAAGACTACTTGACCATATAATCAACAGTCCGAAAACAGAAAATAAAAAAAAAAAAAACATTAGAGACCTCAAACCTATCATCAGTATATTGGTCTGTTTCGGTATATCTTATATTGGTATTCTTTTTATATTTTAATTTCTTGTGAACACATGTATGTGTGTAAAAAGCATGGTTTAATATATTTTTAACTTAAACAGTTTTTGTAAATAAGATTCTTCGGTTTACAAAATTTCTTTATCATTCTGCATTACATTTTCAGTATTCCACTTGAATTCCTATATACAATGCCATCTAGCGGACATAAAATGTACTATTGCTATAATAGCACAATACTAGGTAATGTTTTAAATGTAAAAATGTGATAACAATGATAAATTTTCATTAAAAATAATGTACCTATTAAAAGAAAGGAAAGGCAGATCCTTCATTGGAAATATACCTAATCTGCAGAAAAGCCATATGCATATAACTATTATATAAAACATATTCTATAGTGAAAAAGAACTCAAATTTATATATTTCTATTTGTCTTTACTGTTTTAGATTAGCATTTTATTTAAAATCAGTTTACAGTGCCCATATGTGTATTTTAAATACCATGTCAACATACATATCTCAACAAATACCATCAATTAACAATTTCAAATAATTATTAATACCTAATATTTTATACCTATTTGTGCTTAATATACATGAACCATTCCATAAATAAATGTCCAGAAGAGTACATAAGTGAAGAGTGCACCAAAGAATCCATTTGTGAGCAAACTTTGCCTGGATATGTAATATTTATGCCAATTTGGTCCAGTCTTCAACATAAACATGACCCATAAGCTAACCACAGCAAAAACATAGAAGGCGAATCCATATAATCCTGTTAAACCAAGGACACCTGAAAGAAAAAGTTTTTAATTATGATTTGGCTTTGGCAAATATGCTCACCTGATGGAAATTATTTATCAAATGTGAATAGCACTAGAGAATATTTCATAAAACCCACAGATGCTTATAAAGTCCCTGGTTCATTATTATTTCTGAGAACTAAGGAGTTTATACACAATACTTTCATGTCCACAATATTGATTGTTGTAAAAAACATGCGAAAAAATTTACCTTTCTTAATACAAAAAAGGAACTGTTGTGAAATAGTGAGAAACACGTGTCTATTGCCAGTACTTTCATAGTAAAAAATCATTATTTTTTTAAATTGTTTATTTCTATCATTATTCATCATTGTGGTCATTTGAGGGCATAGTCCTATTATCAAAATAATAACTAGTCTGTGAATGACCATCTACAAGCATGGTAAACTTTACCTGGTGATGATATCAGGGGTTTCTTAATAAACTATAATCACAGACTATAAGTATAGTAAGCAAAAAATTATAACAACAGTTTTTTAACACTGAGTTCCCGAGAAACCCGTCCAGAGAAGTTTAATAATAATTTTTATTTCTCAATCCACATTAAAGATACACAAAAATAGCTGAAAACATACTTATACCGAAAACATGGTTAATCCTGTATTATAGTACATAAGCATGCTCATCATTGGACAAACTTAAGTAATTAATATATTAGACCTTACAATAATGACTTGGTGATGTCTCTCCCACTCGTTAGCTGGTTAGACTTAATATATTGTATAATTACCTGCAGTGGATCCTGATAAAGCTGCCATGGATGTTCTACAGTATTCTACTACAACTGCATTGTTCCTTAACGCTGCTTCGCTATAAGCGATAGGCTCGGGTTTGTTATCTTTACCTTTCGTAACAGACATTATACTAAACTGTTTTATTACCTTATAAATAAATTTGAAGAAAATTAATAATTGTGTGAAAAACAATAACAGGCAATTAATATGACAGTCTGACGAATTGGTTTTGACATTAACATTGACAATATACCAAATACGGGGTGAATAGGAATAATTTGAAATATCGTCTCAATTTTTTCAAGTCGTTCGATTTACAACGCGAGATCATAATATTTAAAATTTAGCTATTTATAATTTACTAAACCGCCTATTTTTTTAAATCTTCCAAAATATCTTAAAATTTCTATATATTTTGAGGTTGAAGTAATTAGAAACAGAAGAAAACATTTAAATAGCTGTTTGGCAGCTGTCAACTCAGCTGTCAGTCAATGTGTATTTGAAAGCATCGGTAAAACAGTTTTACTAGTGAAGCCATTGAAATTTTTTACTGGTGTGAACGTTATGATTGTGTGTATTTTGAAAAATGACATCCCGATATTCACGCACACATTAATATCTTCTACTGCTGTCCATGTTCGTTTTCGCGGCAGAGCGTCAGTAAACTTATTTTCATTTTTAATTCTTTGAATATTTTATGCTAATATTTCAATGTTATTTTATTTACAAGTTAAATTATCACATATTCAGAAACATTGATATTATAGTTTATAAAGTTACTTTGTTGATATTGGTGTCAAAATTAAGTGATGGCGCGCGTGTATTTTACAGTGGTCCCTTTCTCGATATAATAATAGGACTTTGTACGAACGATATATTAACGCTGTTAAATTTAGCTAATATTTTGGCAACTATATAATTCTTCCTTCGAGTAAATATTATTAAAACGTGTAATTACTTAATAATTTCTGTATAAAAAAGGAAATTAAGTTTTCGATTTTCACTGGTCTCATAGCTACCAAGGGAACAAATTATCTCCTTATTTCTTGATTGCATATAGCAAATCACGAGGCCGAGAGTTGACGCAATGTAAGAGTGAATTCATTTATGGTTTGTTCATTTATAAATTTCATATTTCATTGTTATTATTATGGAATATTTTAGAAAATTATATAAATAACCTATTTTCTCGTATTAGTGAACTTCATTTTGATTCTTTTGTTTCAGTTGTAAATCCTAGCCTAATTTCGATGATTGTGGTACGATTGTGACACTCTGGCGTGCAACAATGCATTTTTTTATGCAGCTATCTATAAGATTCGAATAAATTAATCGTAAACTACGATTTTTTCGAAACAACTTTATTTACTTACGTGGTACCGTAAAATAGAGGTGTATATGATTTAATATTAAATAAAATGGATGAATCTGAGGATAACATGAGTAGTGATGGCATAACATCAGATAACAGTCTGATGCCAGCAAGAACAAAACCAAAAAAGAGGTCACTCGTTGAACGAGAACTTGAAACAAATTTGACTGCACGAGTAACATCCCCGATCACCAAAGGTGATGGACTAAGCACGAGTAGATATGGTCGGGCTCGTCGATTTAAATCGGATACTGAATTTTCAGAGAATGAAAAAATTGTCATAAAGGCTGCGAAGTCCCCATCACTTGAGAAGACTCCAGTAAAGGTCCATTCGCCAGTTTATAAAATGCATGCATCAAATTCACCGATTAAACTTGAATCTCCTAAAACTACTCCAAAAATTATGTCACTTGACAGCAGTCTTGATAATCAAATAGAGAATATTTACAATGAGAATATGTCCCTGAGTCGATTTGGTTCTGAGGAGAAGAAAAACATCTCTCCAACTAATAAAGTAACAAAAGTGTATGTACGTAAAGATTTAATTCAGAATAGAGACAAGGATGACAATGTTACATTGATAAAGCACATGTTCTCACCAGTAAAAAGTGCATCCAAATCCAACAATCACTTGAGCAATATTCTAGAAAGGTCATCTGAAAAGTATGGACTGAATAGCAATGCGAAATCTCAACAGGGATATGCATCTGTTGTGAAAACCCTCGATTTTGATGTTAACAAAAAGAAAAAGAAAGAAAATAGAGATGTTAAAAATGTATTGTCTAAGAATGAACTGTTTGATTTGGAGGCCAAATGTGAGTATCAAGTTGGGGACTTGGCTTGGGCCAGAATGGGTACATATCCATTTTGGCCTTGTATTATAACAAGAGAACCATTCAGCGATATGTTTGTTAAGAAAAAATGTAAGTATTGTTTGGTATACATTTATTTCTGTCTCGATTTCCCAATAAGTGAGAGGGAAATCAAATTTTTTATCTGAAAATAATTTTATTAGGCAGAAAATTTTTTATTAATTTTAAAATACATTACAATGACAGTACACTTAATTTTGATTAATTTACTGTTGGATTTGAAAATATTTTTCTAGAGAAAACTTATTTATTGTTTCTATGAACATTTTCTTTTACCTAATAAAAACTCAATCAATTAATGTTATCAAAAATCAATGTTAAAAGTTCTAGAGACACACAGAAACATATTAATTATTTGTAATGGCTTCATTTTCATTTTAACATGATTTATTTTATAAATCTCATAAGGTGTCCCTGACGGACTGACAGACTGACTTTCAGACAATCCCTATGAGGCTGGCATAGTCACTCCGGTGTACTAAAGCCTCAACAAAAATTTGATTAAAAAAAAAACTCATAAATATAATAAAATTGTCCAAATATAATAAAACTAGACAATGTGTCTACAGGAGAAATATTAAAATATATATATATATATATATAAATATAAATATAAATATATATATATATATATATATATATATATATATATATATATATATATATATATATATATATATATATATATATATATATATATACGAGGTCTGTCCGGAAAGTTCGTATAAAAGTGTTCTGGAATGCGAGAAAGAGGAGTGGGGAGGCCAGGTAAGCGCAGGACCCCTTCCTTATGTCCCTAACAATGCTTCAGTTCTGGTCTGACCGCCGTGCGGTGCGAACTGGCTTGTCACGCCATCTGTGAAGTTACCTCTTAACGAAACCCCGTCGGCATGGAGCCCGCTTCCGTTGAAGAGCAGCGCGTCGTAATCAAGTTTCTCTCGAAACTCGGCAAGAATGGCCGTGAAATTTTTGCCGATCTCAGAACAGTTTATGGGGATGATGCTGTGAAGGAACCAACCGTCCACAAGTGGCTAAAAAGATTCAGAGAGGGCCGAGAAAGCGTTCAAGTTGATTGTTTTTTTCGATGTTCGGGGGATTGTCCATCAAGAATTCGTCCCTCCAGGCCAGACAGTTGATGGAAAATTCTACGTCGATGTGCTCAGACGCCTCAAAGCTCGTGTGGCACGAGTTCGTCCAGAATTGGCGCGAGAGGGGCGTTGGATTCTTCACCACGACAATGCCCCTGCCCACACCTCTCTTGTTGTCCGTGAGTTTTTGAGTAAAAATTCCATTACGGTGACCGAACACCCCCCCTATTCGCCGGATTTGGCCCCGTGTGACTTCTTCTTGTTCCCAAAAACCAAATTGGTACTTCGGGGGCGGCATTTGGGGGACATAAATGAGATAAAAAAAGCTAGGACGGGGCAGCTGAGAAACCTACAACCAGAGGACTTTCAAGGAGCCTTCTCACAGTGGAAACGGCGTTGGCACAAGTGCATTATGTCACAGGGGGAGTACTTTGAAGGGGATAAAATTGATTTACCTGAATAATTGTAAAATAAAATTTTTAAAAAACTTTTATACGTACTTTCCGGACAAACCTCGTATATATATATATATATATATATATATATATATATATATATATATATACCATAATAATAGTAATAGATGTCATAACATCATTTTAAAGAAGTTTTGTATGTTTGTTCTGGAATCATGTAAAAGTTACTATACCAAATTGGATGTGGCTTTCACCTTTTTTTCCTGAAGGTTTAAATTAAAACCTGGTATAGGTTTGATCTTGATACCACCATCTGGGTCTGGTCTATTTCATTGGTTTTCCTATATCAAATTCATACATACAACATATTGAGCAAAATGCTAGTTTTTTTTTTAAATATATAATATTTTTTTTATTGGAATGTGAATGACAGAAGACGCATATTTTTAAATTTTTAATAAATTACAGGCTTTTTATATTAATGTTCTCTGTATTTTGAGATACAAAAAAATATTAGTAAATCTCAAAGTCGTTTACCCCATAAGGGAACTGATGTGAAGACATGAAGATGTATTTCACCATTTTTAAAGGCTATTAATTTTTAATATTACACAAAATAAAAATACAACAAAAAGACAAAATATTGAAAAAATAGCTGACTTCCATTATCTCATAAGGTCCAACTCCTGTGTATCAATAGTCAATATCCAATCCATTTTACACCTATTTTTTAAATATTAATTTGTTAAAAAAGAGAAATAAAATAAAAATGACAGACTCCTCTTATTTCATTGGCATAACTCTTATTTATATATCTAAGTTAAAATGTTTTTTAAATATTATAACCCAATAGTTGTTGGACAATTCCAATGCAATCATTACAATATACTTGTGTTTATTTTCTTTGTAAACAAAAAATGAACATCTTCTTCCAGTGTTTGGGCGTATAGAACGGGACGTAATACATGTCACATTCTTTGGAGACAATGGTCGGCGTAGCTGGATTGTTGATAGCATGTTGAGAAAGTTCCTGGGACAATTAGAGTTTGAAGCCACGAGAGAACAATTTAGCCCTTCTGTAAGTATTATAACTAATAAATTTTTGTTTTATACAATTTTTCTATAAACATTTTAAGAACTTACTTATGTATATATTTATTTGTTTAAACTTTGTTGTCCAATAAAATATGGTACAAAAGGCAACTTGGTATGGCTCAATGATATAGGTATTCTTTACCAGCCAACCATTATGGTACATTAATTTATATTTTATTTGTTGTAATTAATAAGTGAATAACATTTTTAAACATTATTTTATTAATAATTTTAGTAGGAAATAACAAATGTAAATATTTAGTATTATGTTTCTATGCATGTCATTAAATTACGCTGAATTTACTCAATGAATTTATATGAGATTTCATATACAGATAGATTACCCATATCCTGGTTTAACATAAAAAATATATTGTGTCTTAATTCACAGCCAAAGCGAAATATACAATTAATGTATTAATTGGAGCTATTTTATTTACATTCATTGTTTAGAGTAGTATTGTTTACTGATTTTTTTTTACCATAACAAACAAGTATACCAAAAGCCTATATATATATATATATATATATATATATATATATATATATATATATATATATATATATATATATATATCCAAAAGCCTATATATATTTAAACTTTAATGTACAATAATATAAGTAAGTGTTCATATAGCATATATATAGTTTGTTTAACAGGGGATTTGTTATCAATCGTCTTTTGTTGTATTATATATAATATGTAATGATGTGTGGGTACATAGGTGTGATATGCAGCTTTATTATCTGAACTAATTTATTAACTTCTAAACTTTCACACTGCTGAAATAATTTAGTTGCTAAAAATGCGTATTGGTTAAAAATGGTGATCGGGCAATATACTATAGATTCTATACAGATTGTCTAGAATGTACTACCCACAAAAACATTGTATATAAGTTGACATATATAACATAGTTGATTTTTTTTTATACAACTTAGAATGGCAAACAAGCTGATGGCCCACCTGATGGAAAGTGATAACCGTCTCCTATAGACATGAACAGTACCATGGACATAACAGAATATACTGTTTCATCCGTGATATCCCCCATGCGTTGCCATTTCTAAGGACTTAGGTATTATTCCTCTGTACCCTGTAAAATTACTGCCATATTCCACCCTTCAAACTGAAACACAGCCATACAAATATCACTGCTTTACAGTTGAAACACGAATGGGACAGATGTATCCAAGCAAACGACTTTTGTACAAAGTCTCCCCCTGGTAAAATTGGTGATCTGGAAAAATGGTGATAGATATAGTAAGAACTAAGATGTATCTGCATCCAGTAATTTCATGGATATATCTTACATTTTAAATTGAAACGGACAGCTTGTAGTAGGGAACAAGATTACAATTATTATTTATATGTAAGACAATTTTTGAACAAAATATCTCAAACTATAAAAATAAATTTATAAATGACAACAAAATAATGAAAATTTTATGTTGATTTCTTATGTGAAATTTCTTTTTATACTGTTTTGATATATCAAAGCTTTATCATTTTATTTTTAGGCCAAGAAGAAAGATCCAAGATTTTATTCAGCTTTTTTCGTATCTGAAAAGAAACTGCCTCAATGGAACAAGTCTGTTGAAGAAGCAGAAATATTGCTAAGAGAACCAAAAAGATTAAGGATAGATATCCTTAATGATATGTTATTGAAAGAGCGAGCGTTAAAATGCACCCCAAAACATAATAGAAGTGGAAAAATAACTCGAACTGACAGTGATGTATCATTAAGTGAGAGTTTATATGATACATTGTTTTCTGAAGATGATGGTAAGCCTGAAGATTGTGACAGGTCTAGAAATAAATCACGGAATAAATCACTTGATGTATCTGAAGTAGTCACTGCATGTCTTGATAATATGGCCGCCAAAACTGGTATTACTAAAATACAAAGACAGTCCCATATGGATAGGTGGTTACAAAAAGCTAAGTCAAAAACACCAGAGAAATCTCAAGGAAGAGTACAAGTACTGCAAAAAGAAACTAAAAGTACTATTCTCAATTCTATACGTAATAATTCAAATTCTAATAAGAAAATTAAATCATCATCTAAACCTGTTATGATACAAAAGCCTTATAGTTTAAGAAAATCTGATAATCTAAATGAGAATGTATTGTGTAATCATAATGATCATGATTACAGTACCATTTGCAATATAGATATTAGTACTTTATCTTCATCGAAGCATAACGAAAATGCTGACAGTTTCGACCAAAAGATTCATGATCCTATTGATTCTATAGTTATGGCCAAAGTAGAAAACCACTCTGACAAAGAACATGACAGTGATATAGGCCATAATAATAAGATGATGCAAAGCTCCACTGAAACAGAAACATTAAATGAAGACATTGAAAATTTTGATAGTAACAGTCATAGTAATAATACCAAAAGTATATATGATGATATTAAAGTTTCTGTTAATGAAATGGATACAACTAACTTTAATGATAGTCAAGAAAATATCTCCATCTTGAAAGATGATAGTCAGTCAAGTAGTTCTAATTTAAATTATGATAGTGACAGAAATTATATTCAGTTGAAAAATGAAAGTCAAGAATTAAAAGAGGAGAATCTACTTAGTATGTCATGTTTAGAAAAGGACGGATACGATAATGTAGATAGTACTAAAATAAGCTTTTGTGATGAAGAGAACCCATCAAATATACTGAATTTAGAAAAAAATTATCAAGGTTCTCACGAAAATATTTCTAATTTACGAAAAGACAGTGAAACAAACATGAATAAATCAAATTATATAATGAATGAAAACGACGATCACAAAAATATAGACAATTCTAAAATAAGTTGTTCTACTAAAGAAAAACTATCATGTTTACCCAATTCAGAAGACAATTACCGAGATGTTCCAGAAAATATTTCAGATTCACGAAAGGATAGTGAAACAAACAATAAATCAAACGATTTAATTAACGAAATGTCACACGAAATAGTAAACGAATTTAATAATAATAATACATCTGACATGGAATCTGTTGTTGTTAACAATGAAACAAACTCTAAAATATCAATAGTGGGTGAAAATGTTTGTTATGTGAAATATACTAACGTAAATTCTAGTAATGATTTGTCAAATGAAAAAGGCAAACAATTAATTAATAATTGCAGTAATAATGAAATGGATGGTGACATAACAAATTATAATATGAAACAAAATCTTAATGCCAACGAAGTGACATCTATTGATCCATGTGCCCCACACTTTATTCAGAATGGTGATATTGGAGTTATAAATACTGAACAAGACATTACGAATCAAAACTGTGAATGTTTGTATGGGGTAACATTAGAATCTAATAACATTGATAGTTCAGATATATATAATAAAATTATTAATGGTAATCAAGAATTTCTTGATGTTAGCGAAAATTATACAAAAGATCTGGATGTTGAAGAATCAGGAAAAGAATTGACAGAGATAAATGACGTTACACATCAGAATGGCAAACATTTGTTGGATACCGAATTAGAATCTCATATCAATAATGCTTCCGATGTATTTAAAAAGGTAGTTAGTAATAATCAAGAAAGTTCTAGCATTAGCGAAATTCATACAAACGTTTTGAGTGTTACGAAACCGATAATAGAATTACCAGATAATACCAAAGTTACTACTAATATAATGAAAATAAATGATATTGATTTAAGTATTGATTTAAACACAATTAAAAATACTATAAGTACGAAAATTGTCTTGGAAGAAGTGGAATCGAAATCTAATATGGAAATATCCATTGATGAAAATACAGCAGAAACCAATGTAGAAGGTAATATAATAGACACATTAAAAAATGAATGTTGTGTTTTTAATAGTAGTGTTCAAAATATTCGTAGTACTATAATTTCTGATACTGATTTTGCCATGGAAAATGTGGAAACAATAGGAAACAAAGATTTTTTTGCTAAAAATAAAGAAATTAATGTCATTGACAAACAGGCCGATGATGGAAAGAACGAAGTCGATGATAACATGGATAATATTTGTAGTTATAGTATACATGATTTTTACAAAAATGTAAATAAGGATAATAATTTTACAAATTTAACTAATGAATTCGATTTAGATAAAAATTTAGTATGTAAAGACCAATTGTGTTCTGGTAATAATCAACTAAATAATGTAGAAATATGTAGTTTAAATAATGAGTCGGAAAATGTTGCCAATTTAAGTCATGGCACAATTCCTATTACAAATAATTCTTTGAATATATCAACTAATGATATTGCTGAATCTTCTAAAGTGAATGGATACCATGAATCTGCATTTAATGACTGCTTAGATACTGAAACTTCTTCTATTAATTCAGAAGATAACGAGCCTCTGTCTGTAACAAGAAATAAACTTAAAAAATTCAAAGAAAAGGTTAATAAACTGGAGAATCCAGAGTTTTTAAAATATCTGGATATTAAGCTTGACGATTTAATAGTTGAATATCCTGATTTAAGTCGAGATGAGATTGTAGAATATTTATATAAAACTTGGGAATATGAACAAAATTTAAAGTCAGATTTTAGAAAGACTGATGAAATTAAACAAACAAATATGATAAAAGGATTGTCAAATCAAGAAGCTATTAAAGAAATAAAAATCACAGGTAAAGTAAAAAACGAAAAAGTTGCAAATAAATCTCTCACAAAAAACAAGACCAAACGTTCTCTAAAACATTGGCTATATCAACAGATTTCGGAGTTGCCAAATAAATTTATGAATGAAATAGATGCTACTTTAGGAACAACTAGTAAAATAAATAATATTACAGAATTGGATTCGGCAAAGTTAGAAGATATTGAAACAAAAGTTTCACATAACTTAGAATCTGTTACGATTAACCCTTTAAATACTGAATTAGTGGTACAAACTGATGAAAAAATAAAATTAGTTAATTTAGGAATTAAATTAGAAAACGATTTAAAAGATGATAATATAATTAAAACTTTTGTAAATGATGAATCTGAAGAAAATTACACAAAACCAGATTCAGAAAATATATACAAAGAAAATCGGAAACATGAAATTAAAGACGATTTGGATTCGGAAACCATATCAATACATTCCGAAGATTCCGATATTTCTATATCTAAACGTAAACGTGTAAAAACAGCAGAAAAATCGGGCTTTAATTTTGAAGATCCTGAGTTCGTTAAATATTTAGAACTTAGACAAGATGCTTTGATTGACGAAAACCCTCAATTGACACAAGCGGAAATAACATTATATTTATATAAAACCTGGCTCTATGAAGAAAGTGTGAAGTCTGAAATTAAAAAAAATGACGAAATTAATGAGTCCAATTTGATAAAAGGATTAAAACATGACACCCCACCAAAGAAAGTTAGAAAAAAAATTAAAGCAGAGAAGGAATTCATAGTTGATGATGTTACATTCAAAGATAAACCTAAGCGTAAGACCTCCCAACCTTATTATAATGAAGAGTATTCAGATGTAGATGAGGAATTGGAGATATTTGAAATAAGATCCAAACCCAAGTATGAAATATCTAAACTTGAAAAAACAAATGAAGTACAAACTGAAGTTGTAGAGTTGGATGAAGATGAGGTTGATGAAGTGGAATTATATTTTGAGGAATTAACCAAGCCTAAACCAAATTTATTCAAAGGACTGATCAGAGAGAAAGTTTGTGAAATATGTGAAAAAACCAATAATCTCATTAAATGCAAAGGGTGCAATAACATGTATCATATTGACTGTGTAAGGAAAGCAGTAGAAATAGTAGAAGTGCCAATACCGTCGAGAGGTAGAAAGAAGAAGAAAAAGGTTGGGCGTAAGTCTAAAAATCTTGAAGACTCAGGAAGTCACAGTGATGAGAGATCTCAGGATTTATCTGATGATCATAACATGTCCATTGAAGATATTATAGCAGCCGAGCCTCGTGTAGTCGACGCTGAGAGTTTCGAGGCTCAACTGGCTGATAAAATGAAAGAGATTCTCGATTCTAATAATCAGGAATACGACTCATACTCGAGTGATGACGGTGTTGATTGGAGCACTTGTGTCGCTGGGAAATGTGAGATTGTCGACGTAAAATTGAAGCCAAAGAAAGAAAATATCGATTACTCAGATTTTAAGTGCAATGACTGCCAAAAGTATGATATTCCAGTGTGTTTTGTGTGCAAACAGGCTGTATCGAAGACTGGTGTGGAGTACAGACAGAAATGTCAAGTTGCTCATTGCTATAAATATTATCACATTGAATGTTTGGTCCACTGGCCTCAAACACAGTTCAGTTCGGGTGAAATTTTACGGAATAAGAAAAAGAACGAGCAGGTGGAGGCGTTGAGTTGTCCTCGCCATGTTTGTCATACCTGCGTGTCGGATGACCCAAGGGGATGCAAGACAAGGTTTAGTGGTGATAAGTTGGCCAGATGCGTGAGGTGTCCAGCTACTTACCATACATTCACAAAATGTTTGCCGGCAGGAAGCCAAATCTTAACTGGATCACTTATCATTTGTCCTCGACATTATGAACACAGGTAAGATTTTAACTAGTTTTTATTTATCCTTACTAATATATTTTTTATATTATGTGAAAGTAAATTTGTTTGTTTGTTATATAGCACCTTAATGTAACCATGACTAAAATTACCCATACAATTTTTTTGTACAACTTAGAATGGCAAACAAGCTGAATGGAAAGCGGTAACCGTCGCCTATAGACAATACCCTGGACATAATGGAGTATACTGTTTAGCCCATGTTACTCCCCATGTGTTCCCATTCCTGAGAACTCAGGTGTAATTCCTCTGTACCCTGTAAATTCACTGCCATATCCCACCCTTCAAACTGAAATAACTGCTTAACGGTTGAATACGAATGGGACAGAGGTACTCAAGCAAACGACTTTTGTACAAAATTCGTGATCAGCGTGAACATCGGCGATCGAAGTCGTGGTTAAAAGCTATAAAAGCTATATATATATATATATATATATCATTGTTATTCATTATTTATGTATTGTTTTTCATTATTTTATTGAATTCTCAAAGAGGTTTAACAATCAGGCAGGCGACCGGTTGTAAAACTATAAGCCAAATCTTTATGTAATATGGATAAAACCATATTACGCCGACCCCAAATAATAATTGAGATAAGGGTAGGAAGATGATGATTTCTAGAGTTTTTTACTTGTTAATTCTTAATTTAACAATAGGCCCTAGCCTATAGCCTATCAATACCTGAAAATAGTATTTCTAAGCCACTTTACTAATAACGTGACAATTCTTCCAGGCCTGGCAAGGTCCCATGCCACGTCAACACCGGCTGGTGTTTCATTTGTGCACTGGGCGGTACCCTCATATGCTGTGAATACTGTCCTACTTCCTTCCATGCTGAGTGCCTTAACATCAAACCACCGGAAGGTATGTGACTACTAATATCGTATCGTATCTCGCGATGGGGCGAAAGGGATTGTTAGTAATGAGGTTTAATAGCCCCATTGCTAGCAATACACCCTATCAGGTCGACCTCCACGCGGTTCCCCCTGGAAATCGTAGTGGTTATTTTTTTTTGTTAATTTGGTCACAATGGGCCAATTGACCTGCTTTCATCCTCACCTATTATCTCGCACTGGTACCCCGCCAGCGTATACCAATAGTGCAGGCGGGGTTACCATGCCATCGTCATTCTTTAAAAAAAAATTGTATCTCACGGGTTTTTTTTATTGGTAAAAATGGTATGGTAACCCCGCCTGCGCTAACGGGATACGCTGGCGGAGCACCAGTGAAGGGTGATAGATGAGAATGAAAACAGGCCATTTAGCCCATCATGATGAATTCATCAGGAATTAACCATGATTGTTTCCAGGGGGAACCGCTAGGTCGACCTGGTTGGGTATATTGCTAGCAATAGGATTCTCAGTCTCCATTACTAACTATCCCTTTCCCCCTCTCTCTAGGTATTTGCTCTGCTTAATGATATATGTATTGCTTTCAGGTGGCTACATGTGCGAAGACTGTGAGACGGGCCGTCTGCCGCTGTACGGTGAAATGGTTTGGGTGAAACTAGGACACTACAGGTATGGAACTTAATGAAATTGTAAAAAGAACCGTGTGCCCAATAGTTATAGAAATTATAATTGTTTAATTGATTGTATGTTTTTTTTTATACCACTGAGGTGGCAAACAAGCATACGGCCCACCTGATGGTAACCGGTTACCGTAGCCTATGAACGCCTGCAATACCAGAGGTATTACGCGCGCGTTGCCGACCCTGAAGAAACCTCTTTACCCCCCTTTTGAAGAACCCCATGCTGTAGTCTCTTGAGAAAACCTCGGCAGGGAGCTCATTCCATAACCTGAGTGTTCGTGGGAGAAAGCATCTCTGAAACCGCGTTGTACGCGACCATTTAGGCTGTAAGGTATGAGGGTGAACTCCCTGTCGATGGCGAGCCGTACGATGATAGAAAGTGGCCGTAGGCATCATATTGAATAATTCCTCTGAGCACAATCCGTTGTATAAGCGGTAATGTAATAATGTTTCTATTTGCTACTAATTTTAGTTGGACAATAGGGCTGTATCTATGGGGCTATTTCTTTAAACCTACCTCTTGACCTAGTCCTCTTATTCATGGGGGGAAGGAATGGTTACTGCATAAAGTAGACTATCAAGCCCATTGCTAGCAATATAATAATAATAAACGCTTTATTGCGCACAATAGAGATGTATACAAGGAGTATTTATACAGAATGTGCATATAGGAAAGGCGGCCTTATCGCTAAAAGCAATCTCTTACAGACAACCTGGCATAAACAATGGATAAGTACAGAGAGAAAGGTAGAGCAATATACACTGTCATGTCAACCTCCACGTGGTCTTCCCTGGAAACAATCGTGCTTTATTCCAGGGGTATTTATCACGATGGGTTAACTGACATGCCTTTTCATCCTCACCTATCATCCTTCATTGGTGTCCCACCAACGTATACTGTTGGCGCAGACGGTGTTACAATTCCATTATCATCCATTAAAAAACCTCTTTTTTTTTCATTATTGATTATTCATAAAAATGTCCAAAGTTTCATAAATCTATTTTAGCCATTGTAGTTTTTTGTCTTTTTCTTTTGCATTAAATTCTCAAGTTGAGTTTACCAAAAGGAGACTTTGTATAAAAGTCGATTGCTTGGGTACCTCTGTCCCATTCGTGTTTCAACCGTGAAGTAGTTGTGTTTGCATGGCTGTGTTGCGGTTTGAAGGGTGGGATATGGCGTGAATTTACTGGGTACAGAGGAATAACACCTGAGTCCCCAGGAATGGCAACGCATGAGGGGTATCATGGGCGAAACAGTATACTCTATTATGTCCATGGTACTGCTCATGTCTATAGGCGACGGTTATCACTTTCCATCAGGTGGACCGTCAGCTTGTTTGCCATTCTAAGTTGTATAAAAAAAAAGTCGAAAGACAGAGACAAAACAGTGTAATGGTTAAAAGGGGGTTGTAGGACGTTTTAGTTATTATGAATATAGGGGCAAGGTTTAAATTACATAATTTTACGAAATTACTATTTTACGAATAAGCACAATTTGATTTAAATCTATTACTAGTTTGCAGTCATAAATATGCCAATGTAAAATGTCCATTGTCAACAGATGGTGGCCAGGACTAATTCTGCATCCGTCTGAAATCCCCGACAATATAATGGCGGTGAAACACTCTCCTGGCGAGTTTGTTGTCCGATTTTTCGGCCAGTACGATTATTATTGGGTCAATAGAGGCAGAGTCTTCCCCTTCCAGGAAGGTAAGTTTGTTTAAACTGAAATAATATATCTTTTTTTTTATACAACTTAGAATAGCAAACAAGCTGACGGCCCACCTGATGGTAAGTGGTAACCGTCGCCTATAGACATGAGCAGTACCATGGACATAACAGAGTATACTGTTTCGCCCATGATACCTCCCATGCGTTGCCATTCCTGAGGACTCAGGTGTTACTCCTCTGTACCCAGTAATTTTAATCTAACCAACACATGATATTGACGTTCTTATAAATATATTTAGAAATAGTTGAATGGTTATTTGTTACGTTTCCATTGGTGTACTTGAAAGAATATGTTTTCTGATTGGTTTCATAAAAATTTTATCAAAATTGGTTCAGAACTTTAGTTTTAAAATGTTTTATCACAATTGAAATCTTTGTTATTTTGTGTAACAATAATGTTAAATTGTTTATTTAGTTTATTAATATTATATTATTATGTTTCCAATTCAGGTGACTCCGGTAAAATATCGAGTCAAAAATCCAAAATAGACGCCGCATTCACAACTGCAATAGAGCACGCGCAGAGAGCGTGCGAAATTTTGAAAGGTATGTATTGCGATTAATGATTTACTTAACCTTTACGTGCGACTTCGTGCGCGTGACCGAGGTTAATAGCCTTAGCCTATAGCTTTCTCCATCCTAAATGCTATGTGTATGCCAATTTTCATGATATTTGGTTGAGCCGTTAATGCATAAAGAGGTAACAAACTTTTCTATACTTATTTTGTAAAGAGAAAATATTTTTTTGTTTGTTTGTGCGAGAGATAAATTCTTAAAATACTTAAAAGATTTTAAGAATTCTTTCACATTTTATAGAAAGCTACATTATTAACAAATAACATGGGTTGTTTTTTTTTAAAAGAAACCTGTGAAAAGTCAGGGCGAGTCGTTAGTGTAATATAAAGTCTCATGCCAGATTTGAAATGTTTTCAGCCGCTCAACCAAACGAGGAAGAATCTATGGATATCGCGTCTTCACTCCTACCGCCACATTATGTGAAACTCAAAGTGAACAAGCCCTGTGGCTCCCTCTGTGGGAAGAGAATCGATATAGAGGAAAGCTCGCTCACACAGTGCGACTGCAACCCTGACGAAGAGGACCCTTGTGGACCCTACTCACAGTGCCTTAACAGGTATTTCACTTGCATATTTTTTTTATACTACATAGTTTAGTAAAAGAAAGAATGAAACTTTATTTTACAGAAATATGCGACTACACTCACACAGGGGTTAAAAAAAATATTAAGAATTATAATAACGAAACTACACACACACAAAATATTTATCTATAAATTAAAAATATAAAATAAAAAATAAAACTTTTTTTTTATACAACAAAGAATGACAAACAAGCTGACGGCCCACTTATATACTTGTTTTTTGCATTATACAACATAGAGAATATAAGAATATTTAGCTTTTATAAACTAAAACCATTGGATATTAGATAGGTAATGCTTTAAATTCAGGGACAATGCATGTCACAAGAACATTAGAATAGTACTCTTTTCCAAATGCAAGGAGTTTAAGACAATAGCCATAATTATTATTATTATAAAATCTTGATTGTACATAATTCATATTGAATACATTTAACGATTTAACATATAATGGCGGACTTATCCCATAAAGGGATCTCTTACAGTCAACCTTTGAGAAGCTGAAAGAAAACTGTAGAATGTACAAGGGTAATAACCGTACAGTTAAAGTTAAACTAAATAATACCTAGTAAAAAAATTGAATATATAATACAATAAAAACAGTTCTATATACCTACATATGTAAATAATAAAAGTACATAAACAATATAAAAATAAACCTACACACATAATAACCTACACATATATCTGTTATGTGTATATATATATATATATATATATATATATATATATATATATATATATATATATATATATACGAATGTGACAAAGATTACATATAAAGATCCGTCAGTATTCTACGACTAAGACGATATATATATAGTCGTAGATACATAACATAATATAACAGATACATAGATGCATATATTCATAATAGCCATAATCTGTTTTGTTCTAGAATGTTGCTAACAGAATGTGGGCCGAGCTGCCGTGCGGGCGATCGATGCAACAATCGCGCATTCGAGAAACGTCTTTACCCCAAATTAGTGCCGTACCGCACCCCACAAAGAGGTTGGGGGCTGAAAACTTTAGAGGACATCAGAGCTGGTAAGATATATTCTCTGTTTCATGATAAAATACAATTTTTCACTAGTTATTTTCATTTAAAGTATATTGTCAGAGACGACGTTATTGAACGACAAGGTAAACATAATATTTAAATATATTTTTACATTATATTTTATGTATAACTAGTGGCCCGGTACGTGCTTCGTTACGTATAAAGTGAAATAATAAAAAACTAATAATTTTAACATCAATATCGCTGACAATTTGCTTTAATCGAAGCACGTCCAAAATGAAATGACCGCATGAATGACATAACAACATGCCTGTACTGTCAACACTGAAAAAAGTTTCAATTTGACAGCACATCTCTCTGTGCATCTTCTACCGAATTTATCATGGGGAGTGCTCTGAAGAATTGTTCGAATTGATACCTGCTGCTGATTTTCACCATCGTACAACCCGCCATAAACTAAAATTTCATCCCAACCATCTGGACGAGTGGCGGTCCTCCACCGTGCGTTTTTCAAGGCACTTTCTCCCACGCACAACCACTCTTTGGAATCAACAGCCAGCAGCAGTATTTTCGAACCGATACGACAACATAACCTTCAAGAAAAGAGCATATTCCTTTTTAAAAGGCCGGCAGCACACTTGCAATGCCATAGGTATTGTGGGTGACCATGGGCGGCGGTAGTCACTTACCATCAGGTGAGCCGCATGCTCGTTTGCCCCCTGTGTTGTAAAAAAAAAAGCACAATCCCCATCTTAGAAAAAGTTTGAATTTGACACAAAAATCCCCATTAACAAAATGATCCGTTTATTGAATTCATTTGCTACAAGAAAATGTGATAAATGAAGAAACGCTCGACAGATTTTGTGCAAACTTCACATAAACCCTCTACTAAATAGTCCGAACAAAGCGTAAACATTTGGTTTGGATAGGTGAGCCCGTTTTTGAGTTATAAAATTACAACGAAAAGTGGCATTAATTTTTATATATATATATATATATATATATATATATATATATATATATATATATCCTCCTGCTAACTTCAGTCCAAGATGCTCGAACTTCCTTTGGGTATGTATGTATTTTTTATACAACTTAGAATGGCTAACAAGCTGCCGGCCCACCTGATGGAAAGTGGTATCCGTCGCCTATAGACTGAGCAGTACCATGAACATAACAGAGTATACTGTTTCGCCCATGATACCCCCCATGCGTTGCCATTCCTGAGGACTCAGGTGTTATTCCTCTGTACCCAGTATATTCACGCCATATCCCACCCTTCAAACCGAAACACAGCCATGCAAACACAAGTGCTTCACTGTTGCAACGCGAATGGGACAGAGGTACCCAAGCAATCGACTTTTGTACAAAGCCTTCCTCTGGTAAAACTTCATTTTATACCGTATACCATAATATGTTTCAGGACAATTTGTGATAGAGTATGTAGGCGAGTTAATAGATGAAGACGAGTTCAAGCGACGGATGAACAGGAAACACGAGATACGCGACGAGAATTTCTACTTCTTGACCTTGGACAAGGAGAGGATGATCGACGCCGGACCCAAGGGCAACCTGGCCAGGTGAGTTATCACTAGTAAGCTTTTGTAGATGGGTCTGTCTTCGGGCACACTGCAGACTGTGCGGGGAAAAATCGGAATCCATGGAACACTTGATGTGCAACTGCGATTCGTTGGCAAGTATGCGTATGAGTCTACTGGGAACGGCTTATCCTGAACCAGGGGACTACAGATATCTTAAACCGTGGGATATAGTTAGGGTAACACATAGGATTAATGAAATGATGGTATAAGGCAGGGGGAAGCACAAAAGATCCGTATAGGTCGACGTGCATCGGCTTAGCTGACCCTATATGCGAAAAAATGAGATAAGGTTTTGTAGTACCAGCCTCCCTTGACCTCCAGTGATAGATACGTCATCGCTACTGCAAGTCTTTAAAAATAAGACCAATGATCTCAATTCTTCATTGTACTTCCGCTCCCAGTTTGAATTGTTACCACTACTAGTCCATTCTAAACGCTCCTGTTAACTTCAATCCAAGATGCTCGAACTTCCTTTAGGTATGTATGTATTTTTTTATGCAACTTATAATGGCAAACAAGCTGACGACCCACTCGATGGAAAGTGGTAACCGTCGCCTATAGACATGAGCAGTATCATGGATATAACAGAGTATAATATTGTTTCGCCCATGATGCCCTTCATACGTTGCCATTTCTGAGGACTCAGTTGACCTCTGTAACTTGTAAATTCACTGCCCTTCAAATAGAAACACAGCCATGCAAACAAAATTGCTTCATGTTATCACGAATGGGACAGTGGTGCCCAAGCAAACGACTTTTGTACAGTCTCCCACTAGTATCTATTATTCACGAAAATGTTAATTATTGATTGACTGTAATGTTTTCAGGTTCATGAACCACTGCTGTGAACCAAACTGCGAGACCCAGAAGTGGACAGTGCTCGGTGACGTCAGAGTTGGACTGTTCGCCATCAATGATATACCAGCGGTAAGTATCTACAACAATAAATATCTAGTTCTCCCTAGACAGTTCACAAATTAATCTGTCGATAGAATTGTTATCGCTACCGAATGCTTGAGATAGAATGAGATGGCAATGTGCATTGTCTTGTTCATTCTTATGCAAGTTCATCGTGAAGAATTCCACAAAAAGTAACCACGTTGGTTTCCAGGGGGAACCACGTGGAGGTCGATCTAATTATTTTTTTTTTTATACAACTTAGAACGGCAAACAAGCTGACGGTCCACTTGATGGAACGTGGTAACCGTCGCCTATAGACATGAGCAGTACCATGGACTATGTCCATGGTACTGCTCATGTCAACAACATGCCATGCAATGTCATGCAACAGAGTGTACTGTTTTGCCCATGATACCCCCCATGCGTTGCCATTCCTGAGGACTCAGGTATTATTCTTCTGTATCCAGTAAATTCACGCCATATCCCACCCTTCAAACCGAAACACAGTCAAGCAAACACAACTGCTTCACGGTTGAAACACGAATGGGACAGAGGTACCCAAGCAATCGACTTTTGTACAAAGTCCCCCTCTGGTATTGATCTCCCTCTAGTAATTAAGGTAATTAGTAACATTACTGGCATAAAATGGATTGTTAGCAGTGAGGCTGTTAGACTCCATCGCTAACAATGCATTTCCCTCCTAGCGTGGCTACTGCCAAAACCCCCGTTATGGGGAGAGTTGTTCAGAACTGGGCAATTAATGTCTGATACAACAATCTAAAAGGAGGGTGAAGCCCTACGATTTTTCAGTAGAATTTTTTTTTTTGCGATAAAATTACAGAACAGTGAAGTGACATTCAACTACAATCTGGAATGCGCGGGAATAGACAAGAAGCGGTGTTTGTGCGGCGCGAAGCGATGTAGCGGCTATATTGGAGCTAAACCGAAACAGGTGAGTGCTTGACGACTCTCATAGTTTTTATTTGATATTTATATGTTGTATTTAACATATGTATATACGTGTGTATGTATGTGTATATGTATGTTTTAGAGATAAGTTCGCCTTTGCTAACATTGTTATTAACTTATTGTTGTATATATATAGTTTACTGGGTTATTAGTTATAACCCAGTAAACTAAGAAAGAACGTAGAGAATGCTGTGGCAAATGAGTTAGATTTTTATTTGAAAACTATTCGCTTAGATCGGAAGGCTGATCCTTACAAGTGGTGGTCTGTAAATGAAAAACAATACCCAAACCTCTCGAAATTTGCTAAAGTTTATGTTTCCGCTCCTGGGAGTAGCGTGTACAGCAAATGATTAGATAGATAGATAGATAAACTTTTTATTTGAGCCATTTATGACACACGTAAATTTACAAATGAGTTTATACAATCAAATTATAAAATTTTTTTTTATACAACTTAGAACGGCAAACAGGCTGACGGCACAGAGGAATAACACCTGAGTCCTCAGGAATGGCAACGCATGGGGGGTATCATGGGCGAAACAATACACTCTGTTATGTCCATGGTACTGCTCATGTCTATAAGCGACGGTTACCACTTTGACATCAGGTGGGCCGTCAGTTTGTTTGCCGTTTGAAGTTGTATAAAAAAAATTCATCAAAGTGTTCTGTTATGACGGAAATTATTGCTTTTTTTTTCCAGTATATAAAGTACTCGTCATTGTTATTGTTTTGCAATATCTTTATTTTATTTTTTAAAACAAAAAGAACTTATTTTTCAGAATGACACCCAACAGAAAAAGCCGAAGGTGGCGGCGAAACGTGCATACAACAAGCGGAAAAAAGAGGAGTCGCCATCCGTAAAAAACAAATCGAAACGGCCTATCGGCCGCCCGGCCAAGCCCCGAGAGTTGACTGAAATAGAAAAAGATTTGTTAATTATAAAAAACGCCACAAACGGACTCTCAAGCGACTCGGAGTGCAGTAGACTGAGCAGTCTAGAAGGAGATAGAAATCAGAAGGCTTCGAAGCGGAAAAGAGTGAGCTTCTCCACCGAGGACATAATTCTGAACGGCAAAAATTCCCCGAGTGTCAAAAAAATAAAGTTGCAAGACGACAAAAGTAGTGATTTGGATTGAATATGTACTGGTAGATAGTATTTGTTATTCTATATATCTATTTATATATATATATATATATATATATATATATGTATATATATGTATATCGGATAAGTGACGCTTATCAACGCAAGAAATGATACAAGAAAGAAATAAAAACAACACAAGAAATGTATATTCATGCAGTTGTCAAACTTGTCGTCTGTTGCGTCTCGATTAAGGCTAGTGTCACATTAGAGCGACTTTCAGTCGCCGATCATCCGCGTCGGAACAATAAAATTGTATTACAGTTTTTTACTCTCGATCGGAATGTGTGGTAGATAAGTTGTTATAACGACGTAACGTCGTTAAAAATTCCCATTCGGCGTCTGTTCGGTCGTCGACGCGCGGGTTTTCCGTCGACGGAAGATCGGCAACTTTTGTATATTTCTCATGTCGATTGGTCACGTTAGTAGTTGATTCATTTGTTTGAATACGCTTAATGTGGTACTAGCTTAACCCAATAAACACTATTCCATCATCCTTATTGGGTACATGGTTTATGGCTGTTGGATTGGATTCGCGTAATTGTATTGTAAATGTTTTTATAAAATGACGAAATTGAGGTGATTGCGCGCATCATTGTGTCACAACAGAAATAAAGTGCTATTATAATTTACCGTATTATAGTGTTGTATTGAATAGTATAATAGATATATAAATAGATGCGTAACCTTGTAGGTCCCGGTATAGAATAGGCCACCCCTTCCTTTCCCGTGGGTGTCATAAGAGACGATTAAGGGAGGGCGAGAGATAGGCAGCAGCGTCCCTCTTAAAACATCTCCAAAGCCTAACTGCGGTTACCAATCCGCCTGCCAAACGTGGCAACTATTAGCAACTCTATTTTATAATATGTAGTAAAAATAGTGTATTATCGTACCATTATTGTCTCAGCGTGTGTTTATCCACTGCCTAATATGAGCCTTCCGCATTGCTTTCCAACATGTACGAGCGTCTACTTTTTACACTGGTTTTTATCGTCAGGTATATATGCTCCTAAGTCACCATACTGGGCAAGCGTGTCGGTGACTGGAATTTTTGAAAGAATCGTTAAATGGTTTTTTAATAGTATCTTTAACCCTTCTTTGCATAATGGTGGAAATTTCCAACATAACATTGAATGCCTAAAAATTATATAAAAGAACAAGTTCATTTTAAGTTGATCGTGTCTGGATACCTTTTTAATGTCCATTGCAAAAAAACGTAGCTGTCAAATTTATTTTTTTAACCATTTTTCTTTTAAATTTGAACATGATTCATTTCACCAATAAAAAAAAAAATCATGCAAAGAAGGATTAAAGGAGTTAAAAGGAAGAGGTCGCCGTGTGGTCCGGGCATAGAATGAATTACCTCTTCCTTTCCCGTGGGTGTCGTAAGAGGTGACTGGGGGAGCTGAATGGTTGAGGGATCGGTAGCAGCGTCCCTTTTGAAATATCACCAAAATCTAACTGCGGTTGCCAACCCGCTTGCCAAGCGTGGCAACTACTGGTAATACTTCTCAAATAGAGGAAGACTTATGTTCAGCAGTGGACAGTTAATGGCTGATATGGTGTGGTGAGAGGAAGGGATAGGATGTCACTATGTGGGATACGATAGTGATAGCTAGGGTCTCCGAGGACGCGTACCCTTAGGGACTACTCACACTTATTCAGTTCAATAGAACAGCTTTTGTCCAAAGAAAACAACGATTTTGTATGAAAACATGTACGCATCCATTCTGCTTTTCGCGTCTATTCTGGTTTCGCGGCAACTCACTATAAAATGAGGATAAATGTGTATTTATCATGCGAATGCTATAGAGAGTGTTCAGCGCTGTTCCGCCGCATTCACCGTCGAACGCGGCGAAACAGCTCTTTACAGTGATGTTTCGCGACTCCTTGTCGACAAGTTGCGACTTGTATTGTCTCTGTATTGATTTGATTTATTATTGCATAATCTTTATGTACGCAAGGATTAAAGAGTGCAGACGTATTTCATAGTAATTATAATTATTTTATTTTTATGAAATGCAGCATATTCAACGGCGTACGCAGTAGACAAGCGTTTCAGCGGAGATAGCACGCTATGACGGCTTTTCTCATTCTTACGACGCCGTACGCGGCTGATAGAAGCAGAGCTGTATAAGTGTGACCAAAATCGTTCAGCGAAACGCGAATGCAGCTGAATAAGTGCGAGTAGTCCCTTATTCATTGGAAAGGTGAACCCACTGAAGGCTATACTACAGTACATTATAAAAGCACATATATATATATATGTATATATATATATATATATATATATATATATATATATATATATATATATATATATATATAGGTAAGGCGCCAACATTATGACAGTAAACGGAGAATGAAACTTGGTAACTTCATTTGAGAATGAGTATAATGCAAATTTATTGAATCTTAATGTGACAATATTTATTTTATGTGACACATATTTAGTTTTATTATTCTTGTATTACCATTAGTGAATATAATATAATATAATAGTAGTAAGATATATTAATTTTAATTCAATACTTCTCGATACCGTGTTGATTATATAGACAGACAAACTAAGATTTTTTTTTTTTTATACTTATAATGAAATGTAAATTATTGTGTAAATATCATCGTAAACATGGATAAAGAATTTTTCTGTTTGCAACGTGAACTGGACAGTGTTTTATATTTAAAACTTTTTTTTTTTTTTCAATGAAAATAAACGTTGACAACACCAAATAGTTGAGAGAATTCGAATTTTGTAAAATAAAAATATTCAAACTGCCATTTTTTAAAGTAGGATTCTTGGAAATGTATTTTGTTATTCGAATGAAAATGTAGATAGCTGGTCTTATGTATTCTTTGGTTCGTATGTACGCCTGACATCTACGGTAATGTTATTATTATATAAAGGACAGATCATGTTATGTTTTAAAAATATAAAGATATTTTGCTTTCATTAAAAATAAACTATAAAGCATTAATATGTTCTTGTTTTATTTCTATCCCTTATTTCGCCGAGCGTGATTGAGTTTAAAAGCACTAAGATAGCGTGCCATCGTCTCTCGGGGGATAGGATTGCTTCCTAAAAGAACAATTCTTTAAACAGAAAATTCAAACAAAAATAAATCATGTTATACATATGTTGCAGTTAAAACTCTTAACCAGTCAAAAGTACTATTGATTAGCAAAATCAGTAAAAGTACTTTTGACTGAACAGGTTGGTTAAAAGTGGTTTTGACTGAAAATTATTGGTTATTAGTACTTTTGACTGCAAATTTGCGGTTATTTTTTTTGATGGGTGAAAATGATATGGTAACCCCCCCGTCGCTAACGGGATACGCTGTGCGGAGCACCAGTGAAGAGTGATAGATGAGAATGAAAACAGGCCAGTTAGCCCGTCATGATGAATTCATCACGAATTAACCATGATAGTTTCTAGGGGGAACTGCGAGGAGGTCGACCTGGTTGGGTATATTGCTAGCAATGGGATTCTCAGCTTCCATTACTAACGATCCCTTCCCCCGCAAATTTGCGGTTAGGTTAGGTACTGTACGCGACAATTATGTTGTCTTATTCCTCTTAACTAACTAAATGGTTCAAAGATGGGCAGCAGCGGTCCTTTTAAAATATCACTAAAGCCTAACTGCGGCTGTCAACCCGCTTGCCAGGGGGAAAAGGATTGTTAGCAATAGAGTTTGATATCCCCATTGGTAGCAATATGCCCTATTAGGTCGACCTCCACGTGGTTCCCCCTGGAAACCATTGTGAACAATTCTTGTTGAATTCGTCACGATGGGCCAACTGACTTGCTTCATCCTCATCTATCATCCTTCAATGGTGCCCCGGCAGCGTATCCCGATAGCGCGGGTGGGGGTTACTATTTCATTATCACCTATAAAAAAATCCGCCCGCCAAGGGGAATAGAATTGTTAGTAATGGGATCTGACCTATTGCCAGCAACACACCCTATTAGATCGAGCTCCACGTGGTTTCCTCTGGAAACCATCGTGATTAATTCTAGTGGAATTCGTCACGATGGGCTGATTTCATCGTTACCTATCATCCCTCACTGGTGCCCCGCTAGTGTATACCGATAGCGCAGGCGGGGTTACCATTACATTATCGTGCATTAAAAAAATAAGTACGTACATATAAGTATTATTATAAATTAGTATGAATTATGCGTTTACCTTTTAGGATATTCAATACGGCAACATAATGTTTTTATTTTAGGCCATTCGGCAGTTACGGTGCCCCGTAATGTTTTACAGATGTGGTTTATAGCTGCGTGTCTTCATATTACAGCTTTGTTTCACTTTTATAAATCTTATATCAATGCAATATATGTATATTGTCGTATCTTGTGTATTGTTCACGCGGCCAATCCCATCGTTAGTCGAAAGAGACAGTATTTTAAAAAAGAAATAAGATATCAGGTGGTTAATATATAGTAATATCTATTAATTTAAGATACATTATCTATATATTGGCCCAACAACGAATATATGTCTGTTATCCAAGTTATATTTTGTACATTGTTTACGCTGCCAATCCCATCGTTAATTGAATGAGATCATGTAGGGTGGGTAATATATTGTAATATCTATATATTTCAGATACAATATCTATATACTGGGACAAATAACGAATATATCTGTTATCCAATATTTAATGTCGAAACGAAGAACCCGTTCGGAATTAAGATAGATATCCGACGGGTACGGGCGATATTGAAATGAGTGATGACCTTTTTTCTTCCGTCGATGTCCAAAATAACCCAATATATAGATATTAGTGATGTACCAATATTACCCATGTCTAATACGATGCTCGAATACCAATCATCATCCATATCAATCTATCCGATGTCCAATCCGGCATGTAGTCAAACCCATTTCACTCACATCCAATCTAACACACATATAATCAACCACATCAATTAAATCAATCAATCAAACCAATCAACTACACTACACGTACAAACTTTATTAAATTGAATATATATTATACCTCATAGTGAAATCATTTTGTCGTTCTGGGGATTACTATTATAAAATATATATATACGCGCACGCGCACACGCACACACGCGCGCATGCACGCACGCACGCACACACGCACACACGCACGCACGCACGCACGCACGTACGCACGCACGCACGCACGCATGCGCACACGCACACGCACACGAACACGCACACACACACAAAAATATATTAATAAATAATAATATATCAACTATCTAGTATACAGAATTACAATTAATTTACAATTTGCGATTTTTTTACTCTTGTACATTTCCTACATTAGAATACCCGCTAATCATTTTCTCTCTCACCGCAGTGGGTTGGCCGGAAGAGATCTCTTTCAGAAATGAACTAATATTTGCTAACAAGTTGTTAAACTAATCGCTGTATCTTTTTTGTTATAAGTACAATATACTCGTATAATATAATATTTCATTAGTAGTGTTTTGTACACACATTTACATTTGAAATAAATATCCAGTCATTTGCCCCGCTGGCGTCGTCCCCTAAATTCGGCCCTGATCATATTGGAATGTTTAGGGTTTATTTAATTCAAATACGTTTTCCGCTCGAATAATAAATTCAATATATTTAATATGTCAATAGTGAGGTACTGAAACGGTATATAAATTATAATGACACCCACGTATTATTTCCTTGTTCGATCTTTTAGTGCTCTATAGGAATGACTAACTATAGCTCTCTGACATTTAGTAATATGAATGAATGAATGAATGGTTTATTTTCTCTTCACAAAAGGCAGTATAAAGTGACAACTTGAGGTACAATTTGATATGAAGACCAATTTTGTGAGAGACTGGTACTTGCGGTAGGTTTTGAAGAACCTGTGTTACAAGTCACCAGTGCCCCATCTCCATGGACCACGCAAATACAAGGCAACCAATTAGTGTTATAATACACAGATAACAATAATAAGATTTGGTGCAAGAATAAACTTAACATTAAAACTTATTTCTAATAAATTATTTCTTATATATAACTTAGGCGAAGTTAATTACAAAATACAGACTATGCGTGTGTGCGTGCGTGCGTGCGTGCGTGCATGCGTGCGTGCGTGCGTGCGTGCATGCGTGCGTGCGTGCGTGCGTGCTTGCGTGCGTGCGGCGTGCGTGCTTGCGTGCGTGCGTGTGTTCAACTAAATAAAGTAGAGATAGATATAAAATTTATTTGTATCACTTACAGCATATAAATAACATTAGCCATTGGTACTTATTTAAGGAGATCTTAAATTGATGGAGACAAAAAACCTTCAGGTTGCTGATAATTGAGGGGTTTTAGATATTTGATAATTGATTTTTTGCAACCTGGTCTATGCAAGGCATATATATTCAACAAACAATTCAGTATATTGTAAATGTAGGGTCCAAAAAAATAGAGGAAGTTTTGAGAGAGACTAGTGCGGAGGGCAAGAGAACGGCAGACAGAACATTTTCTGCGCTTGTCGCTTTTTAGATTAGGATCGTATTCTAATTGGGAGTGTTTTTTCACTTATAATAATTCAATTCAATTACAATTAATAATTCAATTAAAGTCAGTAATAGTAATATTAAAGTCATTATCATCATATCTTTTTTTTAATGAGTAAAAATAAAATATTGTAATATCTATATATTTCAGATACAATATCTATATACTGGGACAAATAACGAATATGTCTGTTATCCAATATTTAATGTCGAAACGAAGAACCCGTTCGGAATTAATATAGATATCCGACGGGTACGGGCGATATTGAAATGAATGATAACCTTTTTTACCCCGCCCGCGCTATCGGTATACACCGACGAGGCACCAGTAGAGGATGATAGGTGAGGATGAATGCAGGCCAGTTGGCCCACCACGATGTATTCGACAAGAACGTGATGGTTTCCAGGAGGAACCGCGTGGAGGTCGATCTGACAGAGTATATTGCTAGCTATAGAGTTATTAGGCCCCATTACTAGCAACCCTTTTCCCTCCTCATCATCATATCAGCCGTTAACTCTCACAGTTAAACACAAGCCTCGCCCATAAGGGGTTTGGCAGTAGTTGCTACGTTTGGCAGGCGGGTTGGCAACTGCAATTATTAGGCTTTGGTAATATTTTAAGATAAGCTGTTGGCGTCATGTCGTATAGGGAGATAAAGGATATGGCCTGGGATAGAGCTGGCTGGAGGAAGATGCATGAATTAGTTGCACCGACAAGAGGAAACTCTTAAATGAAAAGAGATGTTTTAAGAGAGATGTTTTAAGGGAGATGTTGTTGCTCATTTCGCTACAATTAAGTTCCTTTAGTCACCTCTTACGACATTCACGGTAAATTATCATAGTTTATTTAAATAATTGCTATGATTCTTATCACTTATAAATAATATTATTCATATATATTTATTCGTGTATATATGTAATTTTAGTATGTATGTATATCAATAATTAGTAGTACCGCATTCGTGTATTCTGACACTTCCCTATGGTTGACTGAGAGAGAATGCTTTTATCATTAAGTCCGCTATGTACACATATTTGTACTAATGAATAAATAAATAAAAAAATAAAATATGCAGCGGAAAAGTCTAAAAGTTGGTTATATTAACTGATTTTGTCGATTGGCAATAGATGAATTATAAGTTCGTCACAATAGGATGACCTGAGTTCGTCCTCAATAATAATACTTCAATATTAACCCAACAATAGCGTATAGGTGTATAAGTATCTATAATGTTGGATATCTTTCAATCCATTATCGTCCATTAAAAACAAGTTACAAGTTAAAAAGCTACTGCTTACAGCCCTTCTGATGGTTCTTGATACCTTTGTAGTTTAAAAAAACTTAAATACAAAAAGATGAAGCCTTTTTTTTATTTCGTATATGATATTTAAATATTTTATATAATCTATATTTTTTTCTCCATACCCCCAAATACCTTTAACCTTTCCTCTACGTACGTACCGTCGGCAAATATAGGATTAA